TAAGGTGTTTTTGAAAAAATATTTTATGTTTTCATCAGCCAAAATTTGCCTTCTCCTCTGTGTGTCACATTCCTTTTCCTCAGTTGAGAACAGTGTTAATATTCCATCACATTTATTTACCTCAATTTATTCATCCATTTCTCAATTTATGGGTACCTCTTCATTTTCCCATTCCTTGCCACCTCAAAAAGCTACGAATATTTTTGTCCTTATTTAGAGTTTGTTTTGCTTAGGACTTATATTTCCCTTATTCTACTCTCCCTCATATTTCTCCTCCCTTTTTCTTTTTTTCTTCATATTTCCCTGTTGAGTGAAATGTATTTCTGTACCCCGTTCTCTCTCTCTCTCTGTGTGTTCTTCTTTCTTTTGACTAGTTCAGATAAGAAAGAGGTCCATTTTTCCCCCTTTAGCATTATGCTTTGTTTTGCTGGATAAGTTATTCTTGGCCATTGGCCCATATATCTGTAGCTCTCTGGAATATTGTTTCCAAGTTCTTCCTTAATAGTGGGAGCTGCTAAAGCATGTATGATTCTGAGTGTGACTTCTTAGTACTTAATTCTTCCTTTCTGTTTACTTACAGTATTTTTCTTTGACTTGGAAACTTTGGATTTGGGCTATGATATTCTTGGGAATTTTTATTTGGAAGTTTCCTTCAGGAGGTCACTGGTGCATCCTTGCCATTCCATTTTATCCTCTGGTTCTAAGGAATCTGGGCAGTTTTTGTTAATGATTTCTTGAAATAGGACTGTCCAGGCTCTTTATTTATTTATTTAGTTTGGTATGGCACTCAGTCCAGTGATTCTTAAATATTTTCTTTTTGATCTGTTTTCCAGGTAAGTTGCTTTTCCTATGAGGTCACTTACATTTTCCTCTATTTTTTCCAGTGTTTTGACTTTAATATTTCTTGTTGTCTCATGAGGTCATTGGTTTCTATTTGGTCCATTCTAATTCTCAGGGAGTTTGTCGCTTGAGCAAGATTTTGTACCTCTTATACCAGTTAATTCCTTCTTTCTTCTATAGCTCCAGTTTCTTATGTAATTTTTCTCAAGTGCTCTCATTTCATTTGTGAAAACATTTTATAACTTTTTAAACTCTTGCTTCATCTCTTTGAGGAATTTGTGCCCAGACTGTGTTTTTCTTTGAAGCACTGCTTATATATGTTTGAAGTCATTCTCATCTTTTGGTTTTGTGGGTGGAAGCTTCCCTTCTACCATTAAGTTTTTAATGGTGGGATTCTGTTTGTTTGTTTGTTTGCATATTCTTCTGGCCTCCTTCTCCTCCTTTCTCCCCATCCCCCAGCTCTGTATGTTCCTGACTTGGATTTGGGTCTGAGCAAGAGTCCCTATCAACCAGCTGAAAAGCTCTGTTGGTTCAGAGTGGCAGAATTTAGGCTCCTTTTTCATCTGGGATTTCATCTGCCTTGATTATTCCTCTACTGGCTGGATTAGATGCTAGAAATGCAATCTCACTCTGTGCCTTGAATCTGAGCCACACTGCTGCTGCTTGTAGCTTTTGAACTTCCTGGATATCCCCATAGGGTTTGTCAGGTGCACTTTTTAGATCCATTTGCAGGGGTTTGTGGAGGAGAGCTCAGCCATACTGGTTCCTACCACTCTGCCATTTTGGCTCCCATCTAAGATAAAATTTATTCTCCCAGTTTTTTGGGTGGTACTTTTCTTTCTAATTGCTTTGTCCGTCAATGATATTATTGTTGCATACAAAAAAAAAATAAATGAGTGTTAGATTTGGAGTCTGAAGACCTGAGGTTGAATATGACATGCTGTAAGACTGGACAGCTCATCCCATCTCTCTAGGCTTCAGCTTCCTCATCTATAAAATGAGGAATCTGGACTAGATGCTTTTTAAGGTCCCTTCCAGTTCCAAACACCATAGGAGGAGGTGGATAAGGAATTAGCTGTCATTCACAGTTCTAATATTTAATAAGTACAAATACAAAGTAAAGGGTGAAAAGTCAGAGGTACTGAAATGCAAAATAAACATTCTCCACTTTAGGAAGGCTTTGAGGCTTGAATAGTTCAATTGCATATTAAGAGGCCAGTGGAGTTCCTACCTCTGTCCATAGCTGCTCATCTGCATAAGACCCCAAGAATAGTCTAAGTGTAATTGATACTACTGGATCTGATCAACATGAAGGAGAATAGAGTATCTTTACTAAAAGAACTTGCTTTGAACCTAAAATGACTGTGATACAGGAGAGGTTAGATCACTCCCACCTCATCCACAGAGGTAATAAACCTCAGAGTTAACATTCTCAGGGAGTCAAAGAGAAGAGGCTTCTGCCAATCTCATGGCATAGCGCAACTAAACAAGAGCAAAGTAACACTCCTCCTGAAGAGACTGCAGTACTGACCAGCTGAACCAGGGGCTGAAAATGGTGAAAGACTATAGCTCTCCATCAAAGAATGAGCCCAGGAATTTCAGAGGATCCAGCACTTCTCCAGCAGAGACCAAACTGAGAAGAGCCTGGCAGTCTGACAGCAGTTGTGCCCAACAGCCAAGTAACGAGACCAACTGACCAATGATGAAGCCTGGTAAGGAAACAGCTCAGCACTCTGACCCAGCCCAGTAGTAGGCGGACCCAACCGGCCAAAACACCACACCCTGCTTGAGTAAATTTAATAAAGGCACAGATTCCCAAGCAAAATCAGCTTATTAACAGTGATGGGTATGGCTGGCAGCAAAAATGGGTGGACAGCCACCTCAGTGAGGGCTGACAGGGTCTTTTAAATCTAGGTGTGTCCTCTTTCTGATTGGCCTGAGCTCCCCTGACAAAGGTAAGACAATCCCAACTGGTAGACATTTTAATGAAGAGGTAGGTTAAGAATCGCTTCAGCTCCTCCCCCATACTTCCTGCTGGGTGATGGTAGTAATTCTCAGGAGATAGGATTAGTCTGCAGACATAGGTGTAATCTGCACCTTGCTTAGATTGAAACAACTTGATTGTGAATCAAACTGAATTTGAGTTAAGTGGGTGGTGGGTGAGGTTACAAAGGTACTCAACACACGGGTGGAGATTCAATTCACAACAGAACCGAGTCGAGAATGGAGATTAATTACAAGACAAGAACTCACACTTTAGGAGAGTTTGTCCTGAAAGTAGGGGAATGAAGGTGGAGGTTGAAGTCGCACTCATATGGAATGGGAGACCATATTAAAAATAGAATTAAAATCAATTTTCAATTTCTCACCCTATGAGGAATGCACCTGGGTTCATTCCTGAATGGCTTACCCAACAGAGATGTCATGTCCTGCAAGTAGCCAGCCTACCAGAGCCTCTTATTGATCAATGATGCTTTGCCCACAGAGAGAGAGCTTCATGAGAACCCTCATTCCTTCAGTTGTGGAGTTGTGACTTGCCTTAGCCATGAGTGTTCCCTAGAAGTGTGCCTCCCAATCAGGGTACTGTAAAGTTCATGCCCACTTTTCACCCTATGTACTCAATGTGTACTTGTGGGAGAATGTGCCCTTGGTTTTGGGGGAAATGCTTTGTAACTATTCTGTTCAATAAACATTTTTAAGGTACCTGCTATGTGCCAGGCACAGTGCTAAGTGCTAAAGATACAAGTTAGAAAAAGATAGTCCCTACCCTCAAGGAGTTTACAGTCTAATGGGGTGGGGGGAAGATGGTGGAATTGAATGTGAGGTGGTGGGAAATGGCTGGGATGGAAGCGTGGGGAGTGTTTTGCTCCACACTCAACTCAGAGGGGCAGAGCTACTACAGCTTTTGATGAGGCATGAATACCAAAGTTAAATTTTTGATCCTTATACTTCACAAGGTATCTTGGGATTTGGGGGCTAGATTTTTTTCTTCCCTATTTATTCTATCATTTTTTTTTCAAAAAGCCAGGACAACTAACTCTTTTGTCTTGTGTAGTTTCATTTATGATTTCCTGGAATATAGTTCTGGAAAACCAGACTATGTTAAAGTCATAGAGCTACTTGCCTACACCTTTGAACCCAGATCACTCAGGCTTTCACTGATTGGCTAACAACAGGTCCCAGCCCAAGCTTCAAGTGCTCATGGTTTGGGTTTTGATGGCTCAGGCTGAGTGCAAATAACAATTGTTTTTTGTTTTGACCAGAAATTCTGAGAGTCTTCCCTTCCCAGACTGATTATTTTGGGAAGGCAAACTAGGCCATCTTCTGTCTCAATTCTTACTTAGCCTTTAACTACTGAATGGGCATTGCCTCAGACAAACTGAGACCTGGGCAAAACTGAGCTTAAAAAGGCCAAAGCCTGCCAATGTATCTGGACCCTCGACAGTCGTCTTGACCTATGTCTTGAGATAACAACTACCAAAGTTGCTGCAATTTCTAGGGTGATAAGTACTGTTTTTCTAAGAGCTTTTTTTTTTTTTTTGGCTAGGCAATGGGGTTAAGTGACTTGCCCAGGGTCATACAGCTTGTGTTATGTATCTGAGGCTGGATTTGAATTCAGGTCCTCCTGAATCCAGGGTCGGTGCTCTATCCATGATAAGTATTGTTTTTGCTATGACATTTGAGTAAATTCTTTTCCTAAAGAACTGACTCTGCTAACTAATTATCAGAAAGAAGTACACACATTGGGGTTCATGAGATAGTGTTAAAAGGATAGCCACACATGGGGTTACCCCTAGAAGCCTGGAGTAGAAGCAACTCTGCCTCTGGGGATCCAATCTGCTAATGCCCATCTGAGTTGGAGGAGTGTTACATGTAGTCAAAGGATAATTTCCCTTATAAAACCATGCACTAAATATAATGCTTACAAATACATCCATATTAATAGTTCATTTATAGGCATTAATGAGAACACACAAAAGACAGTGACTGTTTATGTCATAAGATATAGAAATTTTCTACCATGTATATCTTTCCATAAGACATAAATTTAAATGTCTCCTTGTAGTGTTCACAAAACATTCCACATACTGCTCAGTATATAAACACATACAATATTTATTGGTTATTTACACTTCCATTTTTAGGTAAATCATTGAACATTATATTATGCATGACTGCAAAAACAAAACAAAACAAAACAAAAACCAACAACCAACAACACACACCTACATCAGATACCAGTGAAGAAAACAATATCACCCCAAACAGTATTTGTCAGTAGTGTGGCAGCTCTCGTTTCTTGACTTTTTTAAATTTTTTGCTTGTTTCCTGACGAATAGTATCGTATTCTAATATGGCCAGTTCAGAAAGTCTCTGTAAATATTCTGGTGGTGCTCCAGTGAGAGGACTTCTAAAACTAAAACCTTAAAAAGAACACACAAAAACTCGAGACTTCAATCAGGCATGTATATATGTGTGTATGTGTGTGTTTGTACATATATATGTGTGTGTGTATATATATATATTATATATATATACATATATTTATTTGACAAATCTAATTAATAAGTAAAATACTTGCTTCACAATTGAACTTCAATTATGTCTTCACAGAACACTCTGAAACAGAAATGCTACTACTTATCACTTAGCCAATAAGATCAATATAAGCAAAATGGTAAGACATTTTGAAAGAAATTATTAATTCATCATGGAGATTTTGTTATATGCCCTTATTAAAGGTGACAGGGAGAATGGAAGGCAAGGGGAGGAGTGTGATTAGTATTAATAAATGGTAGAATTTCAATAATACAAAACTAAAAGGAACAGTTACATTTAAGACAATCAGTAACTCACTGAAAGTTTATTTTTTTCACTCATTCTCTTGACCCTTTATGGTCAACTTAGCTGGCTAAAGGAAGAAGTAAAGTGGTACATGTTAAAGAGCCTAATAATTGAGATTATATTAACCGTGCGTCTGTAGAATATGTACAAAAATATGATATTTTTCTACACTACCATCGGCAAAAGCTTCAATAGCTCTAAAGTGTCAAGAATATTTTCCTTTAATTTTCCTTAACCAATATGAATTTTTTTTAGTTTAATTTGGTAATGAGAAAAACTATTATTTTGTATCTGGTGACACAGTAGATAGAACACTGGATCTGGAGTCAGGAAGACATGAGTTCAAATCCAGCCTCAGATACTTGCTAGCTATGTGACCCTGGTCAAGTCACTTAACCTCTGTCTGCCTCAGTTTTCTCAGCTACAAAATGGAGATAATAAAAGCATCTATCTCTCATAACTGTTGTGAGGGTAAAATGAAATAATATTCGTAAAGAGTTTTGCAAACTCAAGGAACTATATTAATGTTAGCCATCATCATGATTATCATCATCGGATACATGGAGAAACTAGTAATTGAAGTAAAAATGAAAGGAAGGCAGGATAGGAGTTTACCTTTTAAAAAAAATTCATAATAGAAACGAGCTGAAAAGCTGGATGTAATCTCACATATATCCTAGATTTTAGGAAAACAGATTAACAGAGAATTTAAAGTAAAAGGACAAACCAATGATCTAAATTTCTACTAAGGAAGTTAGCCCCAAAGGGATAGGAATGATACTTGAAGACAGGATAGTTATTAGGACTGCAATTATCATTTGTACAGGGAACACTCAGATAAGCAAACTCCCTCTACCAGTACAGGTAAGCAACTGCTGTACAATTCATAGCCTTAGAGAGCTGTCTAAAGCATTGCTTTGTAAAGTGCCTTGTCCAGGGTCACACAGGTGAGTACATATCAGAGGCAGGACTGGCATCCAGGTCTTGCTGATTCTGAGGTCAGCTTTCCAAGCACTCTACCAAGGCTGCCTCTCATGTTTAAGGACATTGCAGAAATTATCCCAATGGGGAAGAAAAAGGAAGAGAGGCAGGGTGGCAAAGTTAAAGACACTAACATGCATAAATAAAGAACTCATAGTCTTGCTCATAATTTTTTGAAGAAATTTATTGAAGATGGAAGAAAGGGCAAGTAAATGAGGATGAATACAGAACAGCATCCCAGTCTTATGAGAATATGGAGATTGAAAGCTGAAAACCGGCTGAAGCTGTCAAGTAATACTAAAGAAAATAGGATTTTGTTAGCTATACAGGACTAGGAGGTGGGTCAAAGAAGGGACAGGGCAGCTTGAATAAACAGGATGATGATGATAAATGATGATGAGGAGGCTGACATAACCAAATTTGTCTTACTTCTCTTTTCTCTGTCAATACTACTAATAAAAGTCTACATATATTATCTCATTTGAGCCTGAAAACAACACAGCAAGAAAGGTACAACTAGTGTCAGCAGATTTGTACTGAGATTTAAATCTTAAACTAAATCTCAGTACAAATACTCTTGACACTCAATAGCTATACAACTATGGACAAGTCATTTATATTCTGTGAGTTTCATTTTCCTCATATTTAGAATGAGATAACACCTGTAAGCTAGGTGACATAGTGGATAGGGTGCTGAGCCTGGTATCAGGAAGATTCATCTTCATAAGTTCAAACAAATCTAGCTTCATACACTTATTAGTTGTGTGACCCTGTGCAAGCCATTTAACCCTGTTTGCCTCAGTTGTCTCATCTGTAAAATGAGCTGGAGAAGGAAACAGCAAACCACTCCAGTATCTTTGACAAGAAAACCCCAAATATGGTCACAAAGAGTCAGACACAACTAAAAAGTGACCAAACAACAACAACTCTTAACTCCAAATCCAGCACCTGAAGAATGGTCTTTGACTATTAACAAAGATATGAAGGTGAAGACATGAAGAGATGGTAAGAGAGTTTCAGACAAGACACTTGACACTAGCTGTGTGACCCTGGGGAAGTCACTTACACCCAATTGCTTCTTCTCATCTTTTTTGATGAACCACGCTTGGTGATCTTTGAAAAAGTTTGGAGAGTGGAAGAGATGCCACAGATGGAGAAGCGCAAATGTTCCCTTCAGGAGAATAGAAGCCTTTTGGGGGTATTTTATCTTAGTGTGCTGAGTACCTCACAGTACAACACTTATACAGAGTAGGCACTCATAAATGCTTGTGGAACTGAATTTAAATGTAACCTCAATTTTCAAAAACGGAAGAGGATATGGTCCAGAAACTATGGATTTCACTTTAATTCTTGACAAAATTCTAGAATATATTGTTAAGTGAATGACTTACAATAATTTAGAAATGGAAGTGATGATCACTAAAAGTCAGAAAAGCTTTATCAAGGTGGGGCCATACCAGATCAATTTCACTTCCTTTTTTGAGAGGGTAACTAAATGGGGAGATGAGAGGAGGGCTTTAGAAACAATACACATAAATTTCATCAAAACATTTAACAAATTTTCTCATGCTATATTTGTGGACAAAATGGAGAGCTGTGATATCGTTAGATTGATTTGGAACTAGATGAATGATAAGACCAAAAAAGTAATAGGTTTATGTCAATTTAGAGAGTGGGCCCTAATGGAGTGTCCCAGGCATCTGTCCTTTCTCCTAGGCCATTCAGAACTTTTTTCACCGATTTTGATGAAGGCATATATGTCATACTTCTCAAATTTTTTCCCTAAATGTGATCTGGCCTACCTATCTCCCACCAAAACACAGTGACTCGGCCAGGATCATAAGAAAAGTAATTCTTGGCTTAGGTAGATCAGCAAGTAGGTTCTCTGGCCAGATTATCAAGCAAACAGAAGATTCTTCCCTCAGAATATTAACCAGTTCTATTTCTTTTCCATGAATATTTTATTGTCCATCAGAAACTGTATACTTATAAATTTTGTTTGCCACTTCTTAAAGAATTTTTATATAAACAAGAGACACAAATACGCTTATAGGCAGTCATATATAGTCAGTCCTGATTTCATGAAAAGAAAATTTTCTTTTATTAAGAGTTTGCTAAAAGAATATATTTTGTCAGACCACATGCCTGAATTTTTGCTTCAGGAAATAGTCACCAGAAACGTGGTTCATCACTCATTTATCCAGTGACTCAGGGCTTTATTCAGGCGTGTACTGAAACCAGATTTAACTGGCTTGGGAGGGCTGATTATTAAATTTGCAGCGGGATCACTTACACTTCAAAAACTGGAAAGTATATATCAGGGCTTAATATATTGTTTTGCTGGCTGTCTAGACTTAAGAAATTGCTAATAATGAAGATTAAACTTGAAATTTCTTTCCAGCCCAGTTGTTAAACATTTACCTGCAAAACCCTGTATTGCTTTATTAACACTACTTGAGCTTCGCAGGAATGTAGTAGAAGGCTCGAGAATGAGGTTATTACCACACTGATGACCTGATTGACCTGATGACCACAGGCTAGTAAAAACAATAACAACTGGCATTTATATAATGCTTTAAGCTTTGCAAAATACTTGACCATTCATTCATGCATTGAGTCTCCTAACACCCTTGGCTTTATCTATAAAAGAATAGCACAGAGCTATTGAAAACCAACAAGCCAAAATGAATACAGAAATTTCAGGGAGCTTTCAAAGGTTATGTTATTCCTTCCCAGGATTTGCACTCAGATCTTCCTGACTCCAGGCCCAGCACTCCATTCACTGCCCTGAAGATGAGGAGGGAGTACATTCCAGGCATAAGGGATAGCTAGTGTGAAGAAGGAAAACAAATATATCAGATGATGATTATCAAGAAAGCCACTGTGGCTCAACCAGAGAGTGCTGCAAGGGGAATTATGAATTGCAATGCCGGAAAGGGAGATTGATTCACCTAGGTTGGGATGGACTTCAAAAGCTAGGTATGTATTTAAGGACACATTTGTCTTTGAATCCCCAGTGCTTAACACAGTAACAGGCACACAGTAGTGCCAGGTACTAAATAACTGCCGGTTAATTGATTGATCCTATCTAATCCTAGAGGTGGTAGGGACCATTGAATTTTCTGAGTAGGGGACTGAGGTCAGATCTTCACTTTGATGCTTATATATGCTATAAAAGAGGACAGATGGAGTGAGGAAAGACTTGAGATAGGAAGACCAATTAAAAGACTACTATAATATTTCAGGAGAGAGGTGATGATAGCCTAAACTAAGGTGGTGATGTGAAACACAAGTCTGTAAGATATTGTGAAGAAATGACTAATGTGTCAACTGGAGATGTTGGGTGTGAACCTGAGTGCCTGGAAGGATGATGGTGCCCTGGACAGAAATAGAAAACTTGTGGGGGGGGGGGGACAGGTGAGAGAATGAGTTCAGTTTTGGATACTTTGAGATGCCGACAAGATCTCCATTTTGAAATATCCTACAATCAGTAGGAGACGCATACCTTAAGTTCAGGAAAAAGACTAGAGTGAGATATATTGATTTGAGAGTGAGATACTTAAAGATGAAAATTAAATTTATGGGAGCTGCTAAGATTAATGAGGGTAAAGAGAGAACAGAAGAGGGTAGAGCTTTGGGAATACCTACAATTGGGGCGTGTGATATGGTTGATGAACTAGCAAATGATACTGGGGAGTGATCAGACAGGAACTCCAGCAAAACCCTGAAATTCACAGCAGACTGAATAATGATCAAGAGATCCAATAAGAGAATACAGCGACTTCTTTCATCCCAGAATTGCATGAAGTCAGGTAAAAGCCTAAGAGCAAAGCCAGGGCTAGTATAGGATGGCTAGTATGGAACTAGAGAGGGCCACGGCCATGCCAGGCTCTGTGTCCTGAGGCAGCAATAACTGAGAATTCCCCTGAGAAAGCCCCAGTGTGAGGATGCTGGAAGTGCTGGTGGCAGCAACAGCCAGCATGTGCTAATTGATGCCAACCAGTGTGACTATGCAGTGCTCAGATGAAGACAGGTCAGGTCCAGGGCTCTTAAGTCTTCATGCTTAGTCCTGAGATGCCAGAGAGGAGCCTGAAGATCCAGTACTCTAAATCGCAAAGATCCAGGGATACCTAACCCTGGAGGTAGAGGTAAGCTCAGGAACCCAGGACATGACCAAGCTGGACCAACCAATTCACCTAAAAATGCAGCAGCAGGTATAACCTGACCCTAACATAAAGCCCTCATTTAGCCACCCCGGCTGAGGAAATGAGTATATCAAAGAAAACACTGACTAAAAAAAGTCTGCAAAACTAGATATTCCTCCAAAAGCAAAGAAAAACTACATTAAAAATTGTTAAGCAGAAACTCAAAGGAAAAAATGATTTTCTACAAGTCCTACAAGAATACCTAGAAGAAATTAAACCAAAGCTAAAAGAGTGAAATAAAAGCTTTGAGGAAAGAACTGGAAGGACAATAAATAGCTTAGGACAGAAAACAGTTAACCTTTCCCAAGACATGGACTTCCTGAAAACTAGAATAACAAAACAGAAGTTAATAAAGCCATGAGATAGCAAGAAATATTAGAACAAAATCAAAAGACAGAAAAAGTAGAAGAAAATGGAAGCTATATGATATAAAAACAATTGATGTGGAAAACAAGTCAAGGAAAAATTAATTTAAAAATTCTGTGCTCCCTGAAAACCATGGTTTTAAAAAATCCAGAAACTACATTTCTTTTTTTTGAAACTAGCTCTTCCTATCTCTCTCCCAGGCTACAAGTGTGGTAGCTGGCCACTGAGTCTGAATCCCACTGCTCATCAACATGGCAGCTTTTTATCCGCTCTGTTTTTGACCTGGGCTATTTGCCTCACCTTAATAATCATAGGAGCTCACCATACTGGTGGCTGGACTTAATGCAGATACCCTCTCAGCTTAGCCCACTATAGCTCGGAATTCCTAAACTCAAGTGATGCACCAGTCTCCGCCTCCCTAGTAGCTAGATTAGAGGAGAACATCAACCTCTCTACATGTAACAGGATCACTTTTCATCTCAGACTGAAATACATACGAGATTTTGTTAATGTGCTTGGTTCCTTCAAGGATGCAGATCAAACCCCTTCATGTCTGCCCATCCTTGTCTACATCCTCTCAGAAACTCTCAGAGGGAGTCTGCCCAACATACTGGGGAACTTTCACACTTTTTTCTTGATCACAAGGAAATCAGCGGTGCGAACAGGCTCTCCATTATTTGCTCCTCATTTTTATTGTATGACTAGTCTCAATGTCTTTTTCTATGCATTCGATCATTTTCGAAACATTTTACCAAAAGTCTTCTCAGGCTAGATTTCTACAGGAATGATCTTTCTGACCCATTGGAGGCAGTTGCTTCAGCTCTGAGATAACTCAGAATGATGGTAGAAATATTAGAACTTTCAGAGAAAAGCTACAGAAAGTAATTGCAAGTTGCTGGAAGATACTTTAATTTCTCTAGAAATTATAAAAAACACTAAGTGGAAACTAATATTTAATATACACAGTGTGACTATGAAGTAATGTGACTGTCTTAACAACCAAACCAGAACATCTAAGTAACTATTCACCTTGAATATTCCCCCTCTGTTAGAATTGTTTCCACATCCATGAGTGGCCGTTACCTGACTACTTTGAGTGATGGTAAATCTTCATCGTTTGAGAGTAGGTTTGATTTCTGAATCAGGTGAATAAAATCGTATTTTGGTCAAAAGTCAAGTTGTGAGTACAAAGCAATGAGATGGATTTTCTAAGAGTGTCTCTGAAGGCAATTCAAAAAGGCACTCCAAAAATGTGTTGAATAATGGTAGCATCATTAGAATAATTTATAGGCTCTCAGAGTAACTACTTTAAAGGAGTCAACACTTATTTAGATATACCAACCATATAGAGGCCAATAAAGGCCACACTACCCTCCCTCTCCCCACCAAATCTAGCTCCCTGAGAGTAGCATATAATCATAATCTCAACATCTAATAATGGTATAGCTATAATGGACAGATCAGAAGGACAGTAAAAGTTATGGTAAAGTAGGTGATGATAAAAATAAAGTACCATTAACTGAAAAATGTTTTTAAAAAAATTGTACAGTAAATATATTTCATATTATCATTCTGTATAATTATTTTTCAGTATACATATCTGTATTTTTTACTTACTAAAGTGATTTTATTTTAGGGGTAGGGTCAATATTTAGATCAACACAGTTCTGGTTTGTTCATTAACAATGAATAAACACAATTAGTCTCTTTATAGTCACATTTTGCCATTAAAATATTAATACTTGGACCTTACAACTTCTTTAAATATTTTCAGCCATTTGAGATTGGGCTTGAGTTTAGCCTACTGGGAAACAGGACAGATTTTGAGTGGAAATTCAAAGTAATTTTAAAATTGGCTTTCCCATTTTTTATTTGTTAAAGCTTACTGATCTACAAAAGTGTTGATAGTCTTGTACACTTCTTTGACCTTTACATTGTTCTAACTTTCCTGAGATTATTCAGTCCAATCCTTTCACTGTAGAGACAAGAAAAATGAAGCTCAGAAAGTTTAGGTGACTAGGAAGTGGGACAGCCAACTCTCAAATCAGATCTCCTGACTATTGACAGTTACAGTGTTTCCACTACACAAGACTGCCTCAAATAAAGGAAGTAAAACTACATCAGAACCATTATTGGAAATGTAGGGGAGGTAGAAAATAATCATTCTGCTCACGTTTTGTTTTCTCCTGAGGTGATAACATGCTGTCTGTTTGGTTACTCTTCACTGACCTAAATAATGACATATAATAATTTACTTTTATATAAAAGCAGTGCTGTACACTATTGAATTAAATCCTTTAGAATTGAACAGTCTGCTTAAAATGAAACTCATTTAAATGTTTTGTAATGTTGTACTGAAATGATAGCTCTGAATTCTGGTTAAAAAAAAAAAAAGTGATACAAGTGAGTGAGAACTGCAACTGGCCTCTGCCATCAAACATTTATCAGACTGCAAGCTCCTCCCAAGAAAATATACTAGAAAATAGACTATCGTATTGTGTTTTGTTGCTTTTTTTTTTAATTTTTGTTTTATATACCCTACACCTCACACATGCTACAGGCTCTTAAAAATGTGTGTTGAATTAAATTAAATCTTGATCATCATTGGCTGTAAGATGAATCCTAGAGACAAAGATATCAGGCCTCCAACAGTGAAGTTATCCTCATTATCTATCATTTAACTGGGTAGAATTTAATTAATAATGAACTCAGCTAGTCTGAGTCTTGGTTTGTCTGTCTTTCTTTCTTACTCCTTAAATAAGGAAATCTACCCCTTCAGTAAGGGTACTACACGGAAAAACGGAGCTGCTGTAGTTTGGCAGAAACAGTTCTGGGCTTCAGATTGGAGAGATAACAGGTATAAATCCTGCCTCTGAAATTTTTAGTTTTATATAATTATATAATTTTTTGTTATCGTTTTCACGATAGGAGTTACTCAATCTTTTTGAACCTCAGTTTCCTCATCTGTAAATTAAGAATAATATAGCCTGCATTACTTTGTGAGGATCGAATAAGATAATGAATATAAAGCATTTTGAATACCCTTAAAGTCACCTATTAGCTGTGTTAATTCATATTATAAAATTATAGTACAATACAAGATTTAGAACCAGAAGGGAACTTACAAATTATCTGGGTATAAATCTTCTATTTTACTGATGAAGAAGCTGAGACCCAAAGAGTTTATGTGAAATCTTCACATTCACACAGTAGAAAAAAATCAGACTAGTTTCTCTAGAAACAATTTCCCAGTTTTATTATGTCCTTGTTTATTTTATTTCTATGCTATATTACTATTGGATTGCTAGGTGGCACAGTGGATAAAGTTCCAGGCCTGGAGTCAGGAAGACTCCTCTTCCTTAGTTCAAATCTGGCCTGAGACACTTCCTAGTTGTGTGACCCTTGAGCAAGTCACTTAATCCTGCTTGCCTCAATTTCCTCATAGTGAAATGAGCTGGAGAAGAAAATGGTAAAGTACTGCAGTATCTTTGACAAGAAAACCCCAAATGGGGTCACAGTCGGACATGACTGAAAAATGCTATATCTATATCTATATCTATATATATTTTTTTTTGGGTGAGGCACTTGAGGTTAAGTGACTTGCCCAGAGTCACACAGCTAGTGTGTATCTGTGGCTGGATTTGAAATCAGGTCCTCCTGACTCCAGGCCCAGTGCTCTATCCACTGTGCCACCTAACTGTTCCAAAATGCTATATTTTTAAACAAATGAATTCCATTATAATTATAACTAACTGATTTTAAATGAACATAAGAAAAAACTCTTATCTTTCTATTTTATAAAAGTTCTAACTCATGCCAGATAACTTCTCAAGAGCTATAAATTTATTTAAACTATACTACCAATGTGATATCAGAGGTTGACAGTCTGATTTAAAACATTACTTCCCTTTAAGATTACCGTAACAATGTTAACATGAACATTACCTAAGAATTACTATTGACGATCCCATTATCACTAAAGAGAACTTTTGCAAAAGATATTCTCTCAAGAGTTTCAAAAAATAAAGTATTCCTATTGTGGGGCTATGGGTCAAAATGAACAAGAAATATATACTTTCCTGTTTTTTAAATTCTCTTCTTTTACAGACTGTTGCCCAGGGTTCTGAGATAAAGAAAATGATGGCAGGCAAGTAGGCATATCTTCATTCAAGCTAAAATAAAATTTAAAAACATTTTAAAAGATATTTATATAACATGCCTAAAGCCTAATTGTTCCTCATATTTCACAAAGTTAAATGACAGTATACAAGTCAATTTAGAATTCCAGAAAATAACTTCACAAACTAGAACAGATCCAAAACAAAGAAAGTAAATAAAAACAGCACAAATTCAGTGTAGTAGACTAAATGGACAAGATGCTTAATAAACGTTTGCTCAGGGGCAGCTAGGTGGCACAGTAAATAGAGCTCTGGCTTTGGACTCAGGAGAACCTGAGTTCAAATCCAGCCTCAGACACTTAACACTTACTAGCTGTGTGACCTTGGGCAAGTCACTTAACCCTGATCACCTCAACAAAAAAGAAAAATAAAATAAATAAATAAACATTTGCTCAATGAACATATAATAAATGGACAAATGGGAAGGACCTCTTCATAATTAATATTCCATTTCCTTTAGAATAATAAAATGGCCAAAAAAACCCCAATAATCTGGCCTCCAAGTAATTGTAACAGTGCTGAGTGTGTGTTGTCTGTCCTTCGTCCTAGTTGGTAGAAAGCCTATCAAGTAAGGCTGTGCTATGAACTCAACCTTTGATTATTTCTTGGTTATTTTCTTGAAAATTAATAAGAAAAGTTCAATATCAGTCACCTTCCTTAAGGAACAACCGTGGTTTCTTTCTTTTTTTTTAATTAATAAATTTATTTATTTTTAGTTTTCAACATTTACTTCCACAAGATTTTGAATTCCAAATTTTCACCCCATCTCACCCCTCCCCCATCCCAAGATGGCATGTGAATACCCCTTCCCCTAGTCTGCCTTTCCTTCTGTCTCTACTCCCCTTTTCTTATCCCCTTCCCCTTCTATTTTCCTGTAGGGCAGGATAGATTTCTGTACCCCATTTCCTGTATTTCTTATTTCCCAGTTGCATATGAAAACATTTTTTTTAAACATGTGTTTTTAAAACTTTGGGTTCCAAATTTTCTCCCTTCCTCCCTCCCCACCCACCCTCATTGATAAGGCAAACAACTCAATACAGGTTATATATGTGCAGTTATGCAAAACACTTCCATAGCAGACATGCTGTGAAAAACTAACTCTATTTCCCTTAATTCTATCCTGCCCCCCCATTTATTCTGCTCTTTCTTTTGACCCTGTCCCTCCTCTGAAGTATTTGCTTCTGATTACCCCCTTTCCCAATCTGCCCTCCTCTCTATCATCCCCCTACTCTCTTATCACCTTTCCCCCCTATTTTCCTATAGGGTAAGACAGATTTCCATACCCAATTGAGTGTGTATGTTATTCCCTCCTTAAGTCAAATTCTATGAGAATAAGATTCACTCATTCCCTCTCACCTTCCCCCACTTCCCCTCCACTGCAAGAGCCTTTTCTTTTCTGTTTTTTTGTGAGATAATTTATCCCATTCTACCTCTCCCTTTCTCCTTCTCCTAGTATAATCCTCTCTTACCCCTTAATTTTATTCTCCAGATATGACCCCTTCATCTTCAACTCACCCTGTGCCCTCTATCTATTTATCTATCTGTATATATATGTATATATATACACATACATATAATTTTTTCCCTCCAACTGCCCTAATACTGACAAAATTCTCATGAGTTACAAATATCATCTTTCCATGCAGGAGTGTCAACAGTTCAACCTTAATAAGTCTCTTATGATTTCTCTTTCCTGTTTACCTCTTCATGTGCCACTTGAGTCTTATATTTGAAAGTCAAATTTTCCATTCAGCTCTGGTCTTTTCATCAAGAATGCTTGAAAGTCCCCTATTTCACTGAATGACCATTTTTTCCCCTGAAGGATTATACTCAGTTTTTTGTTGTTTTTTTTTTTTTAAGTGAGGCAATCGGGATTGATTATACTCAGTTTTGCTGGGTAGGTGATTCTTGGTTGTAATCCTATTTCCTTTGCCCTCTGGAATATTATATTCCATGCCCTGTGGTCCCTTAATGTAGAAGTTGCTAAATCTTGTGTTATCCTGATTGTGTTTCCACAATACTTGAATTGTTTCTTTCTGGCTGCTTGTAATATTTTCTCCTTGACATAGGAACTCTGGAATATGGCTACAATATTTCTAGGAGTTTTCCTCTGGGGATCTCTTTCAGGAGGAGATCGGTGGATTCTTTCAATTTCTATTTTGCCCTCTGGTTCTAAAATATCAGGGACAACTGTGGTTTCTTGATTAATTGGTTCTTTACTTCTTTGTACCCTCACCCTCTCTCATTATTGTTATTGTGATCTATACTCCCAATCTTTTATCTACATTGCCCATCTTTCCCAACTTTTCATTGTTCTGTGTTTCCTTCTCATTGTTTTCTAAGTTTTCACAAAATATATTAATATAATATGTAACTGGAAGTGTAATTCTTATTTAAGATAGAGTCTTTTGCCCACTCTCCTCCTCAACTCCCACAACTGATCTCAAAGACTTATTCCTTGCAGGGCAACTATTACTATAATTTGAACATAAAATAATATGCAAGTAAATCTACAGGAATAATTTCAAGGACAGTTGAACATTTAGTCATTTAAACTAATGATATTTTACATTGTAGGTAATCTTTTTAATAACAGCTGCTTGTCAGTATCAATATTAATGTGATATAAAAATTTTATCAATTAGTTATGAATTTACATACACATGAATGGCTAGTAAGACAGCAGATACTCTGTGTTTAACTTTAAAAATGGTCTTTTTTTTTTGTTTGTCTGTTTGTTTGTTTTTTGCTTTCGGTGAGGCAATCGGGGTTAAGTAACTTGCCCAGGGTCACACAGCTAGGAAGTGTTAAGTGTCTGCGGCTGGATTTGAACTCAGGTCCTCCTGACTCCAAGGCCAGAGCTCTATTCACTGTGCCACCTAGCTGCCCCTAAAATGGTCTATTTTGAGTAATACTAAATTTTCACAATATTTATTTTACTAAGGTGAAATTTCACATATTCATTAAACAATCAAATGGCATTTTTAAGCACCCATCCACAATGTGCAAGGCATTACAGTAGGCATTAGGGAGACAAAGACAAAAATGAAAGTCTCTACCTTTCTAGAATGATGACCACAACTATATTATCAACAAGAAAACAAAACTAGAGGGAGAAAAAATTCATACATATCTGAAAGAAGGTCTAGAAGAAAAGTGGGTTTTTGCTTATTTGCCAATTAATTTGGCTTTATTTTTATTATGTTAAAATACTTAAGAGTTTTGATTTATGCTTTTATTCCTTTATTTTGTAGGTTTACTTGATTTGTCTTCTTTATAGTTATTAAGCTCAATTTAATAAATTTTAAAATCACCATGGCTTTCGGGAGGAATGTGTAAGCATCCCATTGTTTGAAGCAATTAGTATTATTACCTGTGAATAAGAGCATTTAGAAAACATCACCATAGAGAGTGCTCTGATTTGGACATTGTTCAGGACATCATCAACAAATATGGCAAATACCATAAGTAAATAAGTATGTCTCCTTGTTTCATGCTTTCATGTTGATACTCAACAGATTATTGAATAAAAACTATGTTCATGGTTATGCCCAGGGTGTTGGGAGGCTCAAATGAGATAATGGATGTGAAACACTTTGCAAAACTTAAAGCACTATATAAATGCCAGCTATAATAATTATTATTATTAGCTTACAGTCACCAGGCCTCCAGTCTAGTGATGACTTCATTCCCTGAGCCTTCTACTGCTCTCCCACTGTGCTCAAACAATGTTTACAGAGCATTACAGGGGTGTGCTGGTAAATGTCTAATAACCAGGTTCTGTGGGGGAAAAAATGTGTGTGCACACGCTTTTAAATTTAATCAGCCTTATTAACACTTTCTTAAATCTAGACAATCCACAAAACAATAAATCAAGCTCCAATTTCTTAGGTGTCAATGCTCACACTGAAAATATAAGCCCATTAGAGTTGGCTCCAAGACGCCCTTGGCTGTATGTGTTGGTCTTGTATGGTTTTAGCACATACCTGAGAGATACTTTATTTTAGGAAAATCCTTAAGGCTGCATCTTGTTCTACCAATCAAATGCTTTTTAAAAATAATCAACAAATGGTAGACTGAGTAAGCCCTTATAAATTCCAAGTCTCTCAGTCAGTTATGTATATGACCATAATGATTTAGTTTAAGAAAATTGTCTCTTAACCTTTCCACATTTTCATCAATGATACCCTAAATTAATATATAGACTATTCTCATGAAAATTGTACATAAAGATGAGGAAGCAGGCAAAAGAAAAAGTGAACTATCTTCTCAGGTGTCTTTTTTGGTAAAAGGACCATCTTTATTGTTGGACCTCATCTACATCATCAACTCTACTCTAAACCTCCCTATTTCTGTGGAGGATACCACCCTTCTGTCAGCCACCCAGGCTGCTAAGTTAGGAATCATCCTTTATTCTTTCCCTCTCCATATCTTGTAGGGGGAGGAGCTGATGTGCATACACATATATTTTGCTTGCCAATTTCCTTTTTAAGTTTTATTGACAACTTCTGTTTTTATAGTAGCCATTTCTGGATAGTGCTTCTCCCCACTCCCACTATGAGGCTTCCTTTTAACAAAGATAAGCAATTTGGTAAAACCAACTAACACAGGGACACATCTGAGGGCACACACCACATTCTGCACCTAAAATCTTCACCTCTTGAAGGAAAGGAAGGAAGTGCATTTTTCATCTCTTTTCTGGGGCCAAGTTTGGTCACTTCAATTAAACAATATTCACCTTTATTTCACTGTTATTTTCGCTCATATTATTGTAGACCCTATGTATATTGTTTTCTTGGTTCTACTTCTTTCATTGCATCAGTTCATTCTAGTCTACCCATGTTTCTTTTAAATCCTCATATGAATTATTTTTTATAATTCAGTAATACTGTATTCCATTCAAATGCCAAAATTTGTTCAGCCATTCCCCAAATGATGGAAATCCACTGAGTTTCCAATGTTTTGCTGTAATCAAAGAACTGCTATAGATATTACAGATATTTTAGCCTATAAAAGATCTTCTTCCAGCAATAGAATCCCTGGGTCAAAGGACAGGATAGTTCCAAATCCTTATAAAAGATAAATTATTTTAACTTATTTTGATAAATATTTTCCAATTACATGTAAAAAATTTAACAATCATTTTTTTTAAAACTTTTGAGCTCCAAATTCCCTCCCTCCCTCCTGCCCTACCCCCCTCCTTAAGAAGGCAAACACTTTAATTTTGATTATATACGTGAGGCCATGACAAATATATTTCCCTATTAGCCTCGCTGCAAAAGAAAACACAAACAAAATAAAACAATAGAGCTGGGGAAAAAAAAAACTATGCTTCAATTTGCATTCAAAGTTAATCAGTTCTCTGGAGTTGGATAGCATTTTCCATCATGGGTCTTTTGGAATTGTCTTGGATCACTGTACTGCTAAGAATAGCTAAGTCATTCACAGTAGATCATCATTACAATGTTGCTATTACTGTGTACAATGTTCTCTTCATTCTGCTCACTTCACTTTGCATCAGTTCATATAGGTCTTCCCAGGTTTTTCTGAGACCATCCTGTTTGCCATTTCTTATATCACAATAGTGTTCCATCACAATCATATAACACAACTTGTTCAGACATTGCTCAACTGATGGGCCTCCCTTCAATTTCCAATTCTTTGCCACCACAAAAAGAGCGGCTATAAATATTTTTGTACAAATAGGTCCTTTTCCCTTTTCTTTGATGTCTTTGGGATACAAACCTAGTAATGGAATTGCATGCATATTTTTATAGTCCTTTGGGCATAGTTCCAAATCATTCTCCAGAATGGTAGGACTATTTCACAACTCCACCAACAATGCAGTGTCCAAATTTTTCAGCATCCCCTCCAGCATTTCTCATTTTCCTTTTGTCATATTAGCCAATCTATTAGCAAATTAGCCAATAGCCAGTCACACATAATAGCCATGAGGTGGTATCTCAGAGTTGTTTTAATTAACATTTGTCTAATCACTAGTGATCTGGAGCATTTTTCCATATGACTAGCGATAGCTTTGATTTCTTCTGAAAACTTCTCATATTCTTCGACCATTTATCAGTTGGGGAATGGCTCTTATTTTTATAAATTTGGCTCAGTTCCCTACATATATGAGATATGAGGCCTTTATCAGAGAAACTTTTTGCAGATTTTCCCCCTAGTTTCCTGTTTTCCTTCTAATTTTGGCTACATTAGTTTTTGTCTGTGCAAAAGCATTTTAATTTCATGTAATCAAAATTATCTATTTTACTTCCTGTAATCTCCTCTTTTTCTTGTTTAGTCATAAACTCTTTCCTTATCCATACATCTGACAAGTACATTTTCCCAAGCTCTCCTAATTTACTTATATCACCTAATTATGCCTAATCAATTTATCCATTTTGATATAAGGTATGGGATGTTAGTCTATGCCTAGTTTCTGCCAAACTACTTTCTAGTTTTCATTCTTTTTTTTAACTGTTTTATTTTTCCCCAAATACATGTAAAAACAATTTTTAACATTTGTTTTTTTTTCTTATTTTTGAGTTCCAAATTCTCTCCCTCTTTTCCTCTTTCTCCCCCCACCACTAAGAAGGCAAGCAATTTGATATGTTATACATATGCTATTATGCAAAACATATTTCCATGTGAGTCATGTTGTGAAAGAAACATAAACAAAAAAAACAAGAAAAATAATGAAAGTAAAGAAAAAGTATGCTTCGATCTGCATTCAGACACCATCAGTTCTTTCTCTGGAGATGCATAGCAATTTCCATCACAAATCCTTCAGAATTGTCTTGGATCATCGTACTGCTGAGAATAGCTAAGTCATTCTCAGTGGATCATCATTACAATATTGCTGTTACAGTATACAATATTCTCCTTGTTCTGCTAATTTCACTCTGCATCAGTTCATATAAGTCTTTTCAGGTTTTTTTCTGAGAGCATCCTGCTCATCATTTCTTATATCACAATAGTATTCCGTCACAATCACATATAACAACTTATTCAGCCATTCTCCAATTGATAGGCATACTTTACGGTTTTCTTTGCAATTTATGTCAAATGGTGAGTTCTTACTTCAAAAGCTTGGATATTTGGGTTTGATCATTTACTACTGTGTATTGTGTACTTATTCTATTCCATTGATCCCCCACTCTATTTCTTAACTAGTACCAGCTTGTTTTGACAATTACTGTTTTATAATAGTTTGAAATCTGGAAATGCTAGGCTACCTTCATTAACATTTTTTTCCCACTGATTCCATTGATATTCTTGACCTTTTATCCTTCCAGATGAATTTTGTAACTATTTTTTTCTAACTCTATAATTCTTTGGTAGTTTGAATGGTATGACATTGAATAAGTAAACTAACTTGGATAGAACTGTCATTTTATTATATTGGCTGGGCTTACAGATAACAATTGAATTTCTCCAATCATTTAGATCTGTCTTTATTTGTGTGAAAAGTGTTTTATAATTGTATTCATACAATCTTTGGGTTTGTCTTGGCAGGTAGACTCCCAAGTATTTTATATCTTTCTATCTCTTGCTGCTGGACTTTGTTGATGGTACATAGAAATGTTGATGATTTATGTGGGTTAATTTCATATCCTACAACTTTGCTGAAGTTGTTAATTGTTTCAACTAGTTTTTTTAGTTGATTCTCTAGAGTTTTCTAAGTATAACATCATATCATCTGCAAAGAGTGATTGTTCTGTTTCCCTGTTGACTATTTTTTTCTTCAATTTCTTTTTCTTGTCTTATTGCTATAGCTAGCATTTCTAGTACGATACTGAATAATAGTAGTGATAATAACATCCTTGCCTCACTCCTGATCTTACTGGGAAGGCTTCAAGTTTATTCCCATTACAGATAATGCTTGCTCTTGGTTTTAGAAAGATTACTTATCATTTTAAGAAGGCTCCATTGATTTATATGCTTTCTAATATTTTTAATAGAAATTAGTGTTGTAGTTTGTCAAAGGCTTTTTTGCATCTATAGACATAATCATATGGTTTTTGTTGTTATTATTATTCATATGGTCAATTATGCTGTTAGTTTTCCTAATATTGAACTAGCCCTGCATTCCTGCTATAAGAATATGAGTCATTCCCCAATTGACAAATAGTTAAAGGATACGAACAGGCAGTTTTTCAATGAAGAAATCAGAACTATATATATCATATGAAAAAATGCTCTAAATCACCACTGATAAAAATTCAAATTAAAACGACTATGAGGTATCATATCACACCTATCAGACTGGCTAAAATGATAGAAGGGGAAAATGACAAATTTTGGAGGGGATGTGGAAAAACTGAGACGTTAACACACTGCTGGTGGTACTGTAAACTGATCCAACCATTCTGGAGAGTAATCTGGAATTATACCCAAAGTGTTATAAAACTGTGTATACCCTTTGACCTAGCAAACACACTATTAGGTCTGTATCCCAAGGTGATCAAGGAAAAGAACTTATACGTTCTAAAATATTTATAGCAGTTCTTTTTGTGGTGGCAAAGAACTGGAAATTTAGGGGATGCCCACCAATTGGGGAATGGCTACACAAGTTGTAATATATGACTGTGATGGAATACTACTGTTATAAAAAGTGATGAGCTGGTTGATTTTATAAAAATATGGAAAGACTTTCATGAAATAATGAAAAGTAAAGTGAACAGAACCAAGAAAACGTTGTATATGGTAAAAGCAATATTGTTCCAGGAATAACTGTGAATGACTAAGTTATTCTGGTATCATAAATACTCAAATCAACTACAAAGGACCTATGAAGGAAGATGCTATCCACCTCCAGAGAAATAACTGATAAACAGAAGTATGCAGAGTATGGTTTTACATATATTTATAAATCTACATCAAATGGTGGTCTTCTCTAGTGCAAGGTGGAGTGAGAGGGAGGGAGATAGCTTGGAACTTAAAATGTAACTCCCAAAAAATTAAATTAAAAAAATCGTATTTCAAGCTCTTCTCGTGTATGCAGAGTAATGCACTATTTGAACTGACATTTCTTCAAAGCTGAAGCCTTTTTCCTGGCTGCTTTCCAAATTTATTACTTGGCATAAAAATTCTGAAATGTACTATTACCTACCTTGGAATTTCAATCTTGGAGCTCTTCTCAGTTGGCAATCTGTAGAATTAATCAAATGATGAAAAAAAATATATTAAATCTAAAGTAATTAAAGCTATACCAAAAAAGATAAGAGAATGGAAACATCATCATGGTTTTAACAAGGCTTACTTTTTTTTCTGCCAAAACAAACTTTATTGCACAAAAAAATCATTTATGTACAGTCAGATATAAAGATGTTTCTTTGAGGGACTTCTGTGCATATATCTTCTCAACTCAAGATTAGAGCATAAAAGTTGGGCCACAACGCCAGAGGTGCTCTGCTCATGGCAGGATCAGGGAGAGGATTGTTGCTTGGAAGTAAAAACACTTAAATGGCAAAAGGACACCACTGCATCTATAGACCAAGAACACTCATCCACGACCCTGTGTCTTCTCCAACTGAGGGAATTTGGGGGCCAAGTCTAGTGTTCATCCCAGACCTACGCATCTTGGTAGATTAGCAGCCTCAAAACTTGTTTTGAGTGGAATAACAACCAATCTTGACTAATGGTTGCCTATGGTTCTCTTCCTACTCCCCAAGCCCATTTTACCCAGTTTGTTTTCTGTCCTACATCTCTTACAAAGAATTCTCCCCCTGTTACCCAATAAGCTCTAACCCCACAAAGATAAGTGTTTAGATTAAATATAGTTCTAGGTTATTCTAGAACCTCAGATCTAAAGTATATATTATCTGACTCATGAGGGAGAGGCCCTTTAAACTCTGACCTCTCTCTTCCACAGAATCCAGTCATTCTCCCTCACAGGTAGTTAGGGTGCTGACCAAAGCCTTAGGGTTAGCTAGACAGCTGTGTGGATGATGCCCTTAGGGGGAAATATAATACAGTAGGATGCTTGGGGCAGAGCCAAAATAGGGAGGAGGGGAGATGCCCAGCACTACAGTGCTTAAAGCATGTCTTTCTCTGTTAACCAGCCAGAAGGATCCTTGTAGCTAAATAAAGCTAGGAAGAGTGAGAGCTAGCCCTGCAAGCATCCAACTGAGCCAGCGAGGCTCACTTTTTTTTAAGGAACTTTTCTTCTCATCCTACTTCGATTAGCCAAGAAAGCTGTGATGTTTTTTCCACTATATGTAGGATTCTATACTCAGTATACTGGAAAGTTACAAGAAAAATAGCAGAAATTATTCTTGATAACTTGTAATAAATGAGTCATCAAGAGAAATAATTTTCTACTTCTATTGCAGCCTGGGGTCTATGTATCCACAATGTGCCCATGGCTATGTTTAAAGGAATCTGTGAATTTGGATAGGAAAAAAATTACAGCTTTATTTTTAATCTATAACTGAAATTTTAATATTAAAAAAATTCTGAGGAAGTATATCTATAGGCTCCTCCAGAATGCCAAAAGGGTCCATGACTCAAAAAAGGTTAAAAACTCCTGCTCTCAAGTCACTGCAAGTAGGAAAATTTTCTAATAGTCACATTTAAGTATTTTTCTTATTATTTGGATTTTGCGGGGTTTTTATGTTAAAAACTTCTAACTCTCTCATGAATGGGTTCCTATGTATATAAAGTTTCTCCAGCCTAACCATAAAAGCCATCGGTTTCCAAGGAATATTACATAACTCTATCCTGTCTATACAAATTTGGCAAAGGAAGAAAAACACTTAACATGTAGAAATTGTCAACTGAAGCAGACAATTTAAATTCTTCATTAAAATATTTATAATGGGCAAAAAAAATAATCAAAATCATTTCTGCAAAGAAGCCCCTAAAATACATCTAGATTTCTATAAAATCTACCTGATTTTAGGTGTCTTCAGAGGAGTACATGGATGTCTTTTAAGCACGTCTAGTGGAGCCTCTGTATTTTTTCTGTATCTTTGCACTTCTGGTAGAGATGGAATTGTACCCACTTCCTTGAAATCTTTCAGACCAAATATTGAGGAGTACTCTAATTTAAATATTTTCAAAGAAATACATGTTATTGCTTGATCATAAATATAATACTTCTTAAATTCAAAATAATATATTAAATACAAATATTTTAAATCACTCCTTTAAAAGTAAAGAATATCTTGAATTCATATAGGGCCTTTACTTGGAAGATTTTTATTTCCACATACCATAATTTCATTAAAGTAATTTTGATTTTATCATTTTAGTGCTCCTAACCCATTCCTGCCACAGACAAGTATATGTAAAGCTTCAGAATCCCAAAGAATAGCTGAGAGTTAGGTAAAATGACAATTCAATAGAAACTTGGGAGTCTCCAATTTCAGTTACTATCAAGGCTAAATTTGACCCACCAAAAGGATGTTAGAAAACAACAACTAGGTTCCAAGAGAGTTTCTTTATCTTTCCATTGTCTGACAGAGACTCTCCTCCTGTGGCTACAGTTTTAACACTATTCATTCCTCATCCAATTTTCATCAAAGGCACAGACAATAAGTAAAGAGGAGTGAACAATTCCAAACTGAAGTGGGAGAAAATTAAAAAACCATCCAAGAAACTCACATAATACACCAGATATTCTGCAGATGCTCAGAATTTGAAATAAAACCATATGAATAGAGACACAATAGCTATAGTCTCACAAAGCTATATTTAATAAGTACCATGTTTAATAAGTAGGGTACCTTTGAAAGTTGTCTTAACTCTTTTGGTCTAACGAGTTGGCTTTCAACAGACTATTAGTCCTCTGAATTATTGCTGAGCCACCTCAACAGGATATATTGTCTTTGTTGTTTTTATTTATCTTCTCATGTATTATGTCCTGTCTCTCTAACTAAAGTGTAACTTCCTTGAGGGCAAGGATTATGTCGTATCTCTAAACCTAGTATGGTTCTTTTTATATATGAGGCATTCAATAAGTATTTGTTGATGGTGGTGAACATAGATGTAGAACTGTAAAGGACCTTAGAGCCCCTGTAATCCAGGAGTTCTCAAACTGGGGTCTGTGAACTTTTTTCTAAAAAATTTTTTGATAACTATTTCAATATAATTTGTTCCTTTATAATCAAATGTATTTGATTTTATGCATGTACAAACTTTATTCTGAGATGGGATCCATTGGCTTCACCAGACTGACAAAGAGGTCCATGACACACAAAGAAAGTTAAGAACCCCTGCTCTACTTGAACCTCTTCATTTTACAGAAGAGGAAAATGAGGTATAGGGAGATTAAGTGATTTGACTAAGGTCACAGAATTAGCAATAATTAGGGCTTGGATTTGAGACAGATCCCCTGAATCCATATCGAGTGCTTTTTGTCCCCTTCAGCTAAATATGAAATTGTATCTAGATGCAAATTAAGGAAATATCCAACTTAAGTTTTGTTTTGGTGAAGTGAATTTCCTATCATCCCACTTCTAGCTGTAACACAGTCATCTATGGCTTATCTCTCTCCAAGGATGCATATACAATCCTTATCATTCCCTTGGCTACCCCACTAGTTCAGTTCCTCATTACCTCTTGCATGGATTATTTTAATAGCCTATTTTCAGGACTCCTGGCTCTCCTTACTCCACCCTACACTCAATCTGATCAGGTCACTCACTGTTCAAAAACCTTCTATGGCTTCTTAAAATTTAGCATCCAAGGCCCTCTACGATTTGACTTCAGTCTTCTTTTTAGCCTTATCTCACATTATCTCTAATTCATATTTTCTATGATGAAACTAAATGTAATTATCCACTGAAAATATACTATGCTCTCTTGCTTCTATCACTTTATTTGTTCAGTTCTCTCTATGCCCATCCCTTCATTCTGATATCCTTTATTTGGGCATGTTAATTCTATGGCTGAACATCTCTTTGGTACAGCGTTCCATAATTATGCAGCAGTTGAAAGTGATCTTTCCATCCTCAGAGTTTCTAGCATTTTGTATTTCTCTTATTCAGTGGAGTTTGTTGTTGTTGTTGTTCCAGATTTGTGATTTCATTGGCATTTTCCCAGTGAGAAAATCCTTCTACTAATGAAGACCAGCAACTGCTCTGTAATTTCTAGTCCTAGAGAGTAGCATAGTGCTGAGAGGTTAACTGTGATGCTGTTCGCTCAGCATCACATAGCTTGTATGTGTCAAAGGCAGGACTTGATCCCACTTCTTTTAGACTTTAAGGCCAACTTTGTCCTCATGATGCTATGATGGCTTTCATACATTTGTATTACAAGTACACAAGTCCATGCCTAATCCATCCTACTATACTATACATTTCAGAATGAAGGCAAGAATTGTGTCTTATTTATAAATATTTGTATCCTTACCATCCCCAATACTCCCAATATCTAGCACTGATTTTTTTGCCATTTCTCATGGAAAAGTTATTATTGGTAATATGCTTTAATATACTTATACTCCCACAATGTCTTTCCTTTGCATGTGGGTTACATGAAACTCTGATTCTTCTGAAATTGTCATGATCCAGAATCTGCAGCCATAAGATAACTGGGAGAATACTGGTATTAAAAAAATGTGTTCCTGCGGCAAGGGCTTGGAATCATTGAAAGTACTGCATAATTTCCCAAATTCAATCCAGCCCATTCTCCTCCTATTCAATACTGGGCCCAGCTTACTTTCTATCTACAGTGTTTGGACAAATTGAATTGACTGCATATTCAACAGCATGTCATACTACAGGTAATATGCATTCATTCATTTAGTTTTACCTGTGTAGATTCTAGGCTAGTCTGTGTTGAGTGGCTATAGATCTCATAGGAGAGGTATTTTGGCTTTCTGAGTTTCAATATAATCAGCAACATGTTTCCCACAAATGCAAGGTCTAGAAAGCCTCATCATCAATAACACATTTCTTCCATTTGAACTTGTTCCAAGACATCCTCCATACACTGTGAAACATATCTGGTAGGGTGGCTCTGGAGTCAAATCTCAATTGATACATGCCATGTGCGACCCTGTACAAGACACTTCGCCTCCCTGGACTTCAGGTACCTCATTTGTAAAACAAGGGGGTTGGAATAGATGATCCCTTCCAGCTCCTGCTGATGATATTTCGCAAGCATGTTTTCCTGTTTTATGCCTCAATTTGAGAAGCAAATGGTTATAATAGATAGAAAATTGGCCATTTAGCCAGGAAGAACAGGGTTCAGGTTCTGCCTCTGATGTGTAGCTTACAATCCTAGGCATATCACTTCACCATTCAGTGTTCCAAGTAATTTTCTAAGTCTAAGTTGCAAAATAAGAGCTGATCTTCACGATGCATGGAATTTTGTAATCAAAAACTCCTTATAACCAAGAAAACCTTAGGTTTGGCATTCCCTCAAAAGCTTTTATTTAAATTGCTATGTAGACCTGGGGGGCACATGATTATCTGATTTATTCCTTGATTGATACAGATCAGACTTTAGGGAGACCATCAGCACTACTGTCATATAACCTCTGCACCCTTTCAAGGCTAACCTACCTGAGAAAGCTATCTACAATTGGTGCTTCTTCTTAACCATCTTCAATCTGACTTCTGACCTCAACATGCAACTGAAATTGCTTTCTCCAAAGTCATCAAATGAGCTCTTAATTGCCAGATCTAATGGATTTTTCTCAATCCTTATCCTTCTTGACCGCTCTGTAGGCTCTGTCACTATAGATCACCCTCTCCTTGATACTATCTTCTCTCTAGGCTTCTGTGACATTGCTCTCTCCTGGTTCTCTTCTCACCTGTCTGATCATTTCTTCTCAGTCTCCTTTGCTAGATCTTCATCCTGGTCAGACTTGATACCTGGGAGTTCCCCAAGGCTCTGTCTTGGGCCCTTTTCACCCTCTATTTTGTTTGGTGATTTCAGCAGCTACCATGGTTTCTCTATACAAATGACTCTAATATCTATCCATGCAGCCCTAACCTCGCTCCAGACTTCCAGTCTTGTATCTCCAACTGTCGGTTCCATAGATATCTCAAACTCAAATTGTCCAGAACTGAGCTCATTATCTTTCCTCTCTTCTTAACTTTCCTATCGGTGTCAAAGGCACAACAGTCCTTCCAAGTTCAAAACCTAGGTGTCATCCTTGATTCCTCACTCTCTTTTACTCCACCCCAATATCCACTCAGTTGCCAAATCCTACTGATTCTACCCTCAAAACATCTCTTACATGCACTCCCTTCTCTCCTCTGATATTACCACCACCATAGTGCATGCCTTCATCACCTCCCACCTCTTGACTCAAGTTTCTCCCCACTTTAAACCATCCTCCACTCAGCTGTCCAATTGATCTTCCTAAAGCATATATCTTACCACATCACCTCACTACTCAATAAATTCCAATGGCTTCCTATTTCTTCTAGAATCAAATATAAAACCCTCTGTTTGGCTTTTAAAGCTCTTCACAACCGTAGTGACTTCCTACCTTTCCAGGCTTTTCATACGTTACTCCTCTGCACATACTCTGTGATCCAGAGAAACTGGCCTTCTTGCCATTCTTTATATACAATACTTCTCCTGACTCTATGCCTTTTAATTGGCTGTCCTGCATGCATGAAATGCTCTCACTCCTCATCTCCATCTCCTCACTATCCAGTCAACCTTTTGCATTTTGGCTTCTATCTCCACTACTGTTTTTAAAACTACTTTGTTAATACTACACCATGACCTAATTGCAAAATAAAGGAAATCTATTATTAATCACGATCTTCTATCATCTCTCTGTGACATCAGACATTGCTAGTTATTTCTTCCTTGATACTTTCTACTTCATTGGCTTCCACAGGATTATGTCCTCCTGGATCTTCTGCTTCTCTGATAACTCTGCCATTTCCTTCAATAATCCCTGTTCTTCCTGTAGCTCCAGGCACCCCCTCCTCCCAAGGGGCCCTTCGAGGCTTTTTCCTTGGCCAGGTCCTCTTCTATTTAAACTGTAGATTACAAATAGTACTAGACACTGTTTCTGGTTCTACCACAGACTCATTGAGTAACCAAAATATATAACCTCTATTCACTTCATATTTTTTTTCCTAAAATAAAGATTACCCTTACCAGAATGTCATAGGGTAAATTATAAAATGTCTCATAAAGGTTTTAAAAATTCATTTTGTATATTCAAGATGTTACTAAGCATTTCTTCTGAAGCATAAAAATAAAGTAGCATTACCTTTTTTCATCTTTAGTGTTTCAAGAGCTGCTTTCTTCCAGCTATTTTCAAAGAAAAAACAGCCATCAAGTGAACTTTTGGTGACTCTTGAAGTTAAGTATCTGTTTTCAGGACTGAGTACTGGCATTTTATTTTCTTCTTTTGAAAATGAAGATATATCCCTAATGTGAACCACAAAATAAAAAGGAAAATGCAAGAATTTTAGGAATTTTTTTCTAATTTCTGCTCCAAACTGAAGAATAAATATTAACCTTAGGTTAAAAGAAAAATGCATTTTTAAAATTTTAAAGCAAAAGAACTTTAGGAATATAGCTAAAATGTATAGACAATGGATTTTTTTTTCAATCCTTTTCACCCTTGTCCCAATCAGGGGCAATGGAAAATCCATCACTTGTGGTTTGGCAGGGCATGGGGCTGTGGCCTTGGGTTGGTCAGTCAATTAACACTTATTAAGTGGCTACTATATGTCAGGCACATAGAGCTGGGGGATACAAAGAAAACTAAAAGTCCTTAATCTCAAAGAGCTCAGAGTCTAATGTGGGACAATGCTTGGCAATGGGCCAAGGAAAAGTTGGGTTTTATAAGTATCAAAGTACTCAGTAGGAAAAAGTCAATAATAAGTCCATCATGTAAAAGAGGAAAAGAAAACATTCATACAATAAAGAGATAAACAGTTGTCAACAGAGTCCAAGCAAGACAACACAAGGGGCTTGTCTGAATATTTTATAAAAAGTTAGTATAAATGAAGCAATAGCATATAAGGATATTCCATTTGGGAGGTCATGGGCCAAATCTGACAGCTTCAGTGAGTACACATCTGTGCAAAAATCATATGCTGTCCCACACATTTAGAGATTCCCTAATGGTCTAGGGCAGTTGGACCTACCTTCATAGACTGTACTGTTTCCTATACATTGGGCCAGTTTGGGTTCCTCCAGGTAGCCAAAGTGTGAAGGGTTAAATCAGGTAATAAAATGGGACTAGACTCCGTCTCTGTCTGTTTCTCTGATCCTTAGTCTGTCCCTATCAATATAATCGTTACAGCCAGAAATAGGCTCAGGTCTCCTCCTAATAAATCACTGTCCTATTCTGTTCTCTATTTTACTGATAGAACATTTTACTAGAAAGAACTGTTTAAACTCACTTCATCACTACCCATTTACTTCTGAAAACTACAATCTAGTTTCTGACCTCACCATTATACTGAAACAGCTCTCTCAATCTCTTTTGACCATACTGAAGCATTTGACCCTCTCATGCTTCCTCTCATCCCTTACTCCTAGCTACTTTCTTACCCTGGGGCACTCTTCTCTTCTCCCTCTATACTACCTCACTAGGGGATCTCATCAGCTCCCAGGGATTTCATTACTATCTCTATGCTGATGATTTGCAAGTGTACCTTTCCAACCCTAAACTCTCTACTATCTTGGACTAGAATGTCCATTAGACATCTTAAATTCAATATATTCAAAGTTAAACTCATCTTACCCCCTAAAACTTCCTACCCACCTTCCCTACCAGTACAGAAGACAACACCATCTTCCCAGTCCCTCAGGCTTGCAACCTAGGAGTCATCCTGGATTCCTCACTATCCCTCACCCCCATATCTAATCTACTAGGCCAAGTCATATTGATTTCATCTTTGCAACATCTCTTCTATACACCCACTTCTCTTCTCTGATATTTCTATCACTTTAGTGCAGGCCCTCATCATCTCATGCCTAGATTATTGCAATAGCTTGTTGGTGGGTCTGCCTACCTCAAGTCTCTCCCTACTCCAGTCCATCCTTCATCAAGTCAATAAAGTGATCTTCCTAAAGCACAGGCCTGATCATGTTATCCCCACCCCACCCCTACTCAATAATTGCCTCTAGGATCAAATACAAAACGCAGTTTGGCATTCATAGCCCTTCATAACCTCAGCCCTTCCTATCTTTCCAGTTTTTTTTAATCCCACTTATTCCCTCCAATAAGTACTCTTTGATCCAGTGACTCTGGCCTTCTGGCTGTTCTACAGATCAGACACTCCATCTCTGGGCTCCAGTCATTTTCTCTGGTTGTGCCCCAATGGTCTCTCTCCTCTGCTCCAACTACTTACCTCCTTGACTTTCTTAAACGCCAATTTGAATCCCTCCCTTCTACAGGAAGACTTTTCCAAACTTTCTTGATTCCAGTGCCTTCCTTCTGTTAACTATTTCCTATTTATCTGATATATAGCTTGCTTTGTATATATGTTTGTATGTTGTCTCTCCACACACACCCCATTAGATTGCAAGTTCCTTGAGGGCAGGGACTGTCTTTTGTCTCTTTATGTATCCCTAGTACTTAGTGCTTGGCACATAATAAATGTTTATTAATTGACTGATGGATTGATTCTTGAAACTGTTCTCTTCAAACCCATTTGAATTGGTTTTTTCCCTGGTTTACCATCCTCCCCTTATCCTCTAAATGTAGATTACCACCTCCACTCCCCACCAAGGCTCTTTCCTGGACTACCTTCTATTCCCTTTCAACACTTAACTGATCTCAACGACTTTCATGGTTTCAAATATGAGAGATAATTCTCAAACTGATAGATACAGCACTAAAATCTCTAATGAATGATAGTCACACATTTTCAACTCATGTTGGAACTGAATGTCCTACTAGTATTTTAAACACAATATATCCAAAATGAAATTAATCATCTCCTCTCCACCTGCCTTTCCCATTAATATAATACTTCCAGCCACCTAAGCTCAAAACTTTGCTATCATCTATGAATCTTCCCCCCTCCCTCACCTCCAATATGCAATCAGTGGTCAAGATTCTACAGCCATAGCATCTCTTTCATCTACTTTTCTGTGCTCACTCTGCTACCCCCCTATCTCAGGCCCTTATCACCCCTCAGCTGGACTATTGCACTAGCTTAGAGGCTTCCGTCCAGCCTCTTCCTTCTCCAATTTATATTCCACAAAGCTGTGAAAATAATCTTCATAATGAATAGGCCTGACCATATCATGTACACGCACAAAAACTGTCATTGGTTTTTATTGCCTAGAGGATAAAATGCAATCTTCTTAGCCTGGCATCTAAAACCCTTTACAATCTTACTTCACCTTCCAGCCTTATTTCACATTACTCTATTTCACATATTCTCCACGCTAATCAAATTAGACTACAACTTCTGCTGCTGTTCCTCAAACTCAGCCAAACTTCTGCTTCCACGTATTCATACAAGTCCCTCCCTAAGCCTGGAATGTACTTCTTCATCTTTGAATTATAAGATCCTTCTCTTCTTTCAATCATCTGGCCAGTTGCCTGTGAAACCTCTAATTCCCCAATTCTAACTCCCATCAACACACAGCTGAAAGTCTTCTCTCTTATTCCACATTTTCCTAGATAGTACTTTCCTTTGTTCCAACGGCTCCCTGTCTTACGGCATATGCATTTGTGTACATGTCGTGGTAGCCTGTAGAATGGAAATTCCATGAAGCTTGAGTTATTTTTTGTTTTTTGTATTGCCAGTGCCTACCACAGCATTTTGCTTCCTGGAGCTGCTTAATAAATGCTTGTTCAATTGAATCAAATAGGACGATGGTCACTCCAGAATACTAAAGGGTGTTAGGATTGCAGACATCCTGGGATTTCCTTTACTGATGTAGCAGGTGCTTTTTTAATAATGGAAGGTCTCCTAGAAAATTTTTGGGACCCTATCACCAAGTGATAGGATGTGGCTGGAGTTGTGCTTGTTTTGTCCAGGGGGCTTTTGCCAGGGAGGGACAGCCAGACTATTGTGTCGATGCACTGTGCACTGGCCTTGGGCAAGAGACTCTTCCTATTTACCTTTTTATCCTCACCCCCTTCTTCTTCCTTTCTCAGCAGCCCTGCCCTGAACTTTAGATACCAGGCACAACTCTGGTTGTAGGTGTTGGACTGGTTCTTTAAAGGGGTGGAGAGTCTGGTGGAGAAGGTATATGGAGCATATAGAGAAGCTGGAAGCTATAGAGGAACAATTGCTGCCCTCCAGGTATATCTGCAGGAGGAGGGGAGTAGTGTTTTATTTTGACCCTTTTAAAAATGGATTCTTTTGATCTATTATTAGTGAGGTTGGTTTTTAATTATATTTTATGATCCATGAGAGCTTTTTATTACATTTTAGCCCTTGAACCTGAAATTATTGAACCAGCTTTATCTTAGGCCAAGCACAGAATAATCTGGAAGTAAACTTTACAGGATTATATAGGTCAGATATCATTGTGCCTAAAATGGAGCTATCTGAATTCCCCAGAATCCACAAGTAATGTCTTGAATAGCCCTATCTGTGGCCCACTAAACTATTGTAGCATAATTGTAGCATAGTTCACTGTTCATTTACAGAGAGAATATATAGTTTAGAAAATTAAGTGCAGTTGCCCACCTAATAAGTACACGTAAAATCTTAAAAGAATTAAAATACCAATGTCATAAGAACAGGTTAGAGCATGAGTGGGCAACCTGTGGCTTCAAGGCCACATGTGGCCTTTTGGTCTCAAGTACTGAATCCAGTCAAATTCACTTGAGGACCCAGAGAACCACATGTGGCCTGGACGCTGCAGGTTCTCCATCCCTGTTAGACAGCAATTCATATTTAAAAAAAAAAAGAAAGAAGAAATTTAAGCATACTGCAACCCAATAAATGATATGACAGCCAAAGTAGCTAATGATATTATGGGCTGAATAAGTGATATTCATTTTTTTTTTTACTAAATATTTTTACCAAATAAAAAAATATGTAATTATCTTAAATTCTTGGCTTTCTCTTTTTTTAGAAATTTGCCAATGGACAAGATCAACTTCACCATCCAATCTTTAAATATATCAACTCTTCTCTCTTCCAAAATAATAGTAATTAGCCTGAGGTATCTTAGTGTGGCTCTTAATCTCCTAGATTTAATGAAGTTTTCTTAGAAAAGGCTTAATCCAAGAGGTGGAACAACAGTGGCAGGGTAAAGGCAAGGACTCACCTGACCTCTCCCCCATAACCTCCAAATAACTTTTAAAAATGACTCTAAACAAATTCTAGGGCAGCAGAACCCACAAAAAGACAGAGTGGAACAAATTTCCAGCCCAAGACAACTTTGGAAGGTTGGCAGGGTGAGACAGAAGTGCAGTCCAGCACAAGCCAGGCTTGTGCAGATGG